GTTGGCGAGATCGATCATTGGAATCTCGGAAGCGCTGGAGCCAGCACTGGTGCCCCTCCCTAAGCGACGAGATTTGGATGGCGGCCGAGTTGAAGCGGAGCCTGCATCGGACGGAGCTCGCTGAAGTTCGGCAAGGGACGCTTCGAGCCTGGCCATCTTCTCGTTCATCTGGCGTTGAATCTCGAGCCCTGCGTTTTTGGCGGTGGGGTTGCCGTCCTCGGTGTCGAAGAAGTCAGCCTTGGTGGCGGCTTCTTGATGAGCATGCTCGAGTCGAGACACTCTCAGGTCCATGTCGAGAACGAGGGCTTGGTGGGCTTTCTTAGCTTCTTCGAACTTGTCCCCCATGGCAAGCTCGAGATCGGAAATATTCTCCTCCAATCCTTCAGCGACGGCTAGTAGTTTTTTGACATCTTTGATGTCGTCTCTCATGGCGCTCATGCCGCCGTTCATCCCTTCTAGAACTTGGAGCAACTGAGCATTGGATACCTCAGCAGCGGCCATTGCACTGCCAGGAAACGAGACAGGAGTCTGGATACACAAACTGGGTGGCAAAATGCCACTGTGCGCGAAAAAGGGTCAACCCCCTGACCCTTGTGTCGCGGGCCGAGTCGGGAGCAGCCCTGCTCTGACCTGGCCAGCTGCCTTGAGGATATGGCAACTTGAGCCAAAATGGCTTGAGCCAAATGGCTACGGAAGGTAGGATAGGGAGGAGGAAGAAGAGGAGGACGAGGAAGACCTCCTCATCCTCCCTTCTCTTCCGTCCTACCTATCGTAGTGGTGGTGGAAGGTCTACCGATCAAAACTGGCCCCAGGGAAGGGGACGGGACCTCTGGAGCCGCGGATCGGGAACACTATCGCCTGATGTCTGGGAGCCGCCCGCCCCGGACCGGAGAGCGATAACAACATCAGTGTCACGCCAGTCGGGCGATTCCATCGGCGAGTTACATTTCGCAGAAGTGCCGGGGTGGTCAGCATCGAATCGGTAGATCGGGTCGGATCGGAACGCGCGTCGGACCAGGCCGCATCGGCACAGGACCGAAACCGAATCGGATCGGCTGCGCCAAGATGCACAGCAGCGCAATGCAAGCATCTGGCCGTATCGGACCGTCGGCATATCGAGGTCGAATCGAGCCGAGCTGGCAAGAATCGACGTCGATTCCGGCCGATCGGATCGACACGGGCCCTAGAGTGATGGGCGGCTCCCTCGCGACCCCCTCTCGCTTGCACGGCCCGCAGAGATCGCCTCCCTCGCTGCTCCTCTGTTAAGGGGTCAAAAAAGTGAAACCCCCTCGTCGTCGACACCATGTTCGTCCCCCCCCCCTCGCCCCCGACAAAGTTGGGCTCCGGCGTGGTGGAGGCCCCGGGGGGTCCACTTTCTTTGTCCTTTCAAGCCTGCGCTCTTGAATCTGGAAGCAACTTTAAATGTGGGGGGAGGGGAGGGGGCAGAGTCAAGGGTTCCACTTTTTTGTCCATCTGCGGTCCCTCGCCCCCCCCCCGTGCTGCGGCGCGGGGGGCACGAGCGAGGCACTGCCGGAGCAGAATGCCCGGGGACAGGCGCAGACAGACCGAGCGCCCCCGAGGCCCTCTGGAGGCCCCCACGGTGCCACAAGCGGCGAGAGCCCTCGATCTCCCGGAAGCTTTTCTCGGGCGGGGGGTCACCGGGGGGGGGGCCTGAATGGAGGGGGTGCAGAGAAGGGCCCTGGCAGGGGGTCCTTTGGGGCCCCTCCGAGGCCCCTGCTGGCTCCAAAAGGGGCCCTCTCGGGGGCTCCTGTAGGCCCCTTCTCCCCCCCATGTGCAGGAGGGGCCCGACCACAAGAAACCTTCCACGAGAAATCCGACCCTGAGACCCCAGGACGTCCATTGATTTTTGAGCTGGGAACGCCACGCCTTCCATAGCAAAACCATCGACCCCCCCCCGTGTATAGGCCACCCTGCAGAACTCGGGGGCGCGCAAACATGGATTAGCGATCCATGGATTTGGCGCGCGGTCGCCAAGTCCATGGATCGGGAGAGGTGCCCTCCTCAAAATGCGGCCAATGCCGTTTCGTTCGGCGGCGGGGGGAATCCGCGATTTCCCATGGAAACGGGACCCGTCGCTCATCCACTCCCCCTTGATCCATGCTTGCGATCTCCTGAAGAACCACCCGCTCGATCCTCCCCCTTCCCCCGCTCCCCCAGCGGCGGCCCGGCGCTCGGGATGGCCGTGCGCGCCGGGACACCACCGCTCCCTCACAGGAGGGGGGCCCCATGCATGGGCGGTGGGGATGCCAGGCTTCTCCGCCGCACGCGGCCGAGCACGAGCGCGGCGCGGGAGCGCGCCAGGAGAGCAGACCCCGCGCAAGCTCCTCCTCGGAGCCCATGCGAGGGATCCTCCTTCGCCCTCGTCAGAGGAAGAAGCAACAGCATAAGCAGAAACTTTGGGCGCTCCGCGCGGATTTCTCGGATCCGCGCTGGCCCCCCCCCCCTGGCGGCGCCTCCGGCGCCGCCCCTGGCGCGCTCCGCGCGCCAGGGAAGGGGGGGTCCAGCGCGGAGTGCCAACAGTCTAATTATGTCTATGGCGTTTGTTCTTCTTCTTCCACTCGGCCTCCTCGTTCTCCCTGCTTCCTGGCCTGCGGGCTTCCCCCCCTCGTGGACGCGACTGGACGCAGCTCGGAGAAGAGGCTGGGATGACCTGGGACCATGCCCAGGAGGAGCCACTTTCGACAAGAGCTTGGCCAGATGCCCTCCTGCTTCAAGGTCCTCCCCCTCCTCCCCCTCCTCCTCCCCCTCCTCCTCCTCCTCCTCCGCCTCCTCCTCGTCTCCCCCCCCCCTCCCAAAGATCCAGATCCGACGTCGCAAGACAGTTGCGACGTCGTGGGGGATGACGACCGGGACCCTGGACCGCCCAGGAGCCTGCACCGCATCCTCTTGTGGCACCTCTCGAGCCGGACCGATCTGCGAGAACCCCATGGGCCCGAGCCAAGGCGACAGCGCCTGGTGTGAAAACACTACGCCAGGATCTCAAGGGGACCCCTTCCCTTCATGGCGGGATGAGGACGGGGTCTGGCTTTAGGTCGCGCAGGCTGATTTTGGACGAAAAATAAGACATAGTCCAAAAATACCCGAATTTTGTTCCTAAGCAAAAAATGCAGAAAAAGATCGTCCCCGGACTATTCTTCGACTATTTTTGAATACTCCTCCTGTATAGGGATAGCGCCCTCATGGCGCTCCCTAATGACGCTCCCTCCTCCTCCTCCCCCTTTCCTCCTCCTCCTCCTCCTCCTCCTCCTCCTCCTCCTCGTCCTCCTCCTCCTCCTCCTCCTCCTCCTCCTCCTCCTCCTCCCCCTCCCCCTCCCTCCCCCTCCCTCCCCCGGGGGGCGGCCGGGCCTTCACCGCGCTGCCCGCCTGGCGGGAAATGGAGGCAGGCGCGCGGGGACGCTCGGGCCGCCGCGGAGAGGCCCAACGGTCCGCACGAGGCCCGCCCTGCTCCCGCTGCGGCACCTCCCCGCTGCCGCGAGCTCCCTCCCCGGGCCTCCCGTCGATCTCCACGCTGCTCCCCCAGCATACGTAGCCAAATCGTATGTTTACGCACAAAGCTGTCGCGCGTGACCGAAACGGGAACCAGATGGTTACGATCGACCCCTCACATACAATCAAAAACCCTGATAAGGACGCGCGGTAAGGACGCAAGACCCTTGGAAGCCGAAGTTGGGATTTTCGGGGCGGCGGACGACGAAAACCCCATGGACGCAAGAGCAAGGAAGAGCAAGGACGCAAGGGTACCCTGAGCAAACTCGCGCGTCCTTGTTAGGGTGTTTGACTGTACTTGAGCTATCAAAATGCATTGAGCACCTCCGTAACCGAAATCTTCCTGGGAAGATCTTCGAGGGGCTGAGCGAGCGGCGGATCCGCCGCTCGCTCCGCCCCTCCTCGCCTGGATCCTGCTGCCCGTGGCCCTCCTCTGGGCCGCTCTGCCTCCCCTCTCTCCCCAGCCCGTTGCCTCGCTTCGGCGGCGAGCGAGGGAGGGAAGGGAGACGGGGGAGACCCCCTCAGAAGGCGGCTAGGCTTCTCAGAAGCCTTCGCGCCTTCTGCGCGAAGTGGTTCGTGCCTTCGGCCTCGCAAGGCTTAGAACACTTCTCAGAAGGAGAGCTCCGAAATGTTAGGCTTGTGCGGATGTTCTCCTTCGAGGCCGTCGGCAACCCCGCGAGACCGGCGCGAGGCCTGCGCCGGCGCCAGCAACTCATGGACCAGGCATCTACTGACCCGGGTCCATCCACAAACCCCGGTAAGTCAGGCCTTGCAAGGTCCTGCAGGATCCTGCACCCAAACCCGGGTCGAGGCACCCCTTGCTCTGCAGACATTAACCTGATGTGCTAAAACAAGACGGTCCCAGCCAGAAATGTTCTGAGAACATCTCGTGCAGACCACCAGAGGTTCTCTTAGAACATTATTTGGTGGGCCTATAGGCGAGCCAGGACGCTTCGCCACTGCTTGACGTTTGCATTGACCCCGTCTCTTGGGGGCAACGATAGGGGGGACTGGCATAAGGGAGGATAGATCGACCTGGAATCGGCGATACATCGCCGATAGATCGGCGATAGGCCACCGATAGTGAATCCGCACCTTCCTGGGCAGGTTGGGGCTATCGGATCCCTTTCGGCGATCAGTGGGCGATTGGGGGTCAATGCATCCCCCCCTAATTATGCCTCTCCCCCCCTATCGTCGGGTGTTGCTAGAAGTGCCCCTGGCCCAAGGTGCCCCCAGCTTTTCGCTCCATTTTGGAGCCCCTGGGGCCCTCTGGGCCTCGTGAGGGGTCCCTGGAGCCCCGTAATCGGGGATGGACAGACCTCCCTTTAGTAAAACGTGGTTTAGTGAAAACGACTTCGGGCCCACACCTTGCGGGCGCAAGCCTGGAAAATAACGGCCGCGGCGCCCTCTCGAGAACCGAAAACGGACAACTCACCAATCGACGTGTCAGGGTAGGAGGTCTGTCCACCTCCGACGCAAGGCCGGCGCGAGGCCTGCGCCGGCGCCAGCAGCTCGTGGATCACGTCGGACAGCCGCCGGCACTTCGCGGGCGGCTCCGCGAGCGCGGCCTCGCAGTCGGCGCCGGCTGACGCGCGCCGCTTCACGGCGGGCGGCGGCGCCGCTGCCGCTCCTGCCGCGCGGGCGGCGGAGGGGGGGGCCCTCGGCCAGGCTCAGGGGGGAGGCGAGGCTCTCCTCCTCCTCCTCCTCCTCCTTCTCCTCCTCCCGAGGTTTACGGTCTCTGGACGTCTCCGTCGGTTCCGAAGGGTTCCACTGCCTCGGGATGCGTTCCTAGGCAAGCGCGTTCCACTACTCGCAAAGTAGCTACTCGCAAATGGCCTGGATCCGCCACGAGGAAATTACGACACTTTACGTAGAGGAGAACATGTTTTTACTGACGTGTGCGAGTAGGCACTTTGCGAGTTGTGGAACGCGCTCGGTGGGCTCCAGCAGCCGCGCCTCGCCGAGGGCGCTCCGTGGCTGTCCGAATCGTGCCGAGTGGCCGCCGGCGAGCCGAGCTACGAACCGAAAGCCCCCCTCCTCGCGTTCTGGCAGGTCCAGTCCAGGGGAGCGGTCCAGACCTCCGCGGGGCCACGCTGCGAAGAGATCACGGCGTCGGAGCTCTGGGCCCTCCTCCTCCTCCCCGTGCCCTGCTGCTCTGCCCCGCCGTCGTCCCCGAGCGCTGCCGAGTGAGCGCAGCGGCCCGCCCGTCGCGACGCGGCAGCCCACGCCGGCGGGAGAGAGACGTGCTCGTCTGCTGGTTCTCGCGCTCCCCCGTCCCCCCGGACGACGCCGGAAGCCGAGCTCCGGGCGCGCGCAAACATGGATTTACACGTCGGTCGGAAGAAGCAGGTGAAACCAGAAAGCAGGAAGGCGGACAAAGCGGATTGGGTCCAGGCCCTCCCAGAGAACAACAAAACACAGCAAAATCATGCCGACTCTTGAAGTAGGAAAGCGCTTGAAGTAGATTGGGATCTGCGAATCGAGAAAGACCTACTTTCAACGACCGGCGTGTACGATCCGTGGATCTGGCGCGTGGGCGCTGGATCTACGGCTCGGGGGAGGTGCCCACGGAGCATGAGGCCAGATGCCGTCCGACTCGGCGACGGAGCGCGTCGATGCCGCCCAGGAGCAGGAGCGCTTGCGAGTCCACGCGCCCTGATCCGTGCTTGCCTTCCCCCGAGAACTGCAACCGAGCACGCCGGGACTGGCACGGACGGCCGAAACGTTCCGCGCAGCGGAAGGGCAGCCCCAGCTGAAGGACACCTCTTATTATAGAGAGCAGAACATCCACCCCCATAAGAAGCACCCCGACAAGCGAAGCCGTTCAGTAAACGCACCCATGGAAGGAATCGAACAGGGCAGGGCTGTTTAGTAAACGCCCAGGGCTGTTTAGTAAACGCGAATTGTCGGGGTCGGGGTGGTTTTTCCACCCTTGAGATTAGGAACGCCAGGGCGGGGAGCACCGCCGAGCCACTGTGGGTGCCTCGAAGGTGCTCCCAGACCGACAGATCGGAAGCTGTCAAGGGCATCGTCGAGCCACCGCGGGTGCCTCGACGTGCGCCCGCGTCGTGACAGATCGGAGTGATGCCACAGCTGCCTCCCTGCGGCGCTGGCCGTTAGGACCAAGCTGGTCTTCTGCGCACCTTGCCCGAGACGTGGCATGAGCTTCCCCCGGAGAGGCGCCCGGAGGCCTCGGGGGGCAGAAGCAAACTTAGAAGACGTTCAGAGACCTCCACCCTCGAGCTCGCCCACAACCTCCGGCCCTCTTCCTCAAAAAAAACTCCCCTGCTGCCGTGCACGACACACAGAGCGTTGAACGAAAACCGCGGGGTGTTCCGTTGCCCCCGCGCTGGCTTCGGGCGACTGCTAGCCGAGCCATGGCTCCGCAGCCTGGCTTCCTGCCTGGGCGGCGAGAGCCGAGCCTCCCGCCTCCCTGTGGCAGGCGTTGGCCGTCGCTGCATCCCTGGCGTCTCCCTCCCGAGGAGTCCCAGGCGCCTGCGTCTTCTCTTCTGGCCGTGGAAGCAGCTCGGCAAGGCAGCCGCCTGCAACAGGCTCGGCGCGGGAGGGGGGTCGCTGCTGCAGGACTCTCTCTGCATTTGGCACCGCCGATCCCTGCTGGTTTGAGCGACTCGTCGGCCACGAAGCGAGCCCAAAACTATAAATGCCAGTGGTCCTCCCCTCCTCGTCCTCCTCCTCCTCCTCCTCCTCCTTCCCCTCCTCCTCCTTCTCCTCCTCCTCCTTTTCCTCCTCCTCTTCCTCCTCCTCCTCCTCCTCCTCCTCCTCCTGCTGCTGCTTCTCCTCCTCCTCCTCCTGCTCCTTCTCCTCCTTCTCATACCATTCCAGACCAAGACAACTCTCCTGACTGGATATATGCCCCCCGAGTTCAAAGACAGGGGGTCGAACAGCTTCGGGGCGTCGGGCAGGTTGGAGCTCCTTGCACGCCCGCAACATGGGGTCCCCAAGCTACGAGCGAATTGTTGGCCGACCTCTCTGAACTCAGGACCACGTCGCACCATTGGAGTACCGCTCTGGCTCAGTCTCATGAAGGCCATGCTATCGACAAGCCTTCGCACACCAAGAACACCGGGGGCAAACACACATGCGAGCAAACACACGTGTCTTTAGATCCTTGTCCCTGAGAAGCTCATCCTGAATATGTAGGCCTTTTGCCCGTGGCACTGGATACAAGTCCATCGCGGCGTCAACGGCACGGCCCGATGAGGATAAGGACGAACATTCCTTTTTCAACTCATTTTCCCCCTTGGATTATTCATCCGCCTCCTCCTGCTGCACCTTCAATCTCCCATTCAAGCAATGTTCAACAATGTCAACTTCCCTGCTCTGGGCACGCCTGCACAACGGCACATCCAGACTGACGGATCAGCGTCGCCGAGGAACCGTGACACTGCACGACACAGCTCGGTCGGAACGCCTGCTGCTCGCAGGGGGGGTGGCACGTCAAGACTAGCCCGACCGCCCGCCCCCCCATCGCCACACAGCAGTCTTTAGACGAGCCACCCCCCCAAGTCGTTCCAGGTGCCCGAAGACGGGCTCCCAGAACCACTCACGAGCGAAGCAGGCCCGAACAGGCCAGGGCACTTAACCCCCAGGACCCGAATACATTAGCTAAAAAAGCTGCATAGGCCCTAAGGAACCGATTTTACAGTCCAAGGACACGCGGCCAGAAACATGAAACAGGTCACGGGTCACTTTCCCCCGAGGCCCTTGGCGAGTGCGGCCTTGGGGGCACGGCCTAGCTTCCTGGTCCCCCCTGCAGCCCTCAGAACATGCACAAGGACAGTCGTGATCTCCACGAGCTTATGGGTGTCGTGAACGGGCATCTCCGTCGGGCTCCTCTGAAGTACCTTTTTCCCACTGTGGGTCTGTGGGCGCCCCTCCCCAAGCGTCGGCCTGCTGCTGATTGAGCTCCTTTTGCGGCCTCCGCCCCCCCTTGCCCCTTGCCACGAGGATGTGGCGCCGAAGACACAATGTGAGCCTCATCACCTTTGAGTCGGACGCGTTCGAAAACCCGCACTCTTTGATCCACATCGACGCATCCCCGGGCCCCGCCTTTCCATCATCGCGCGTATCCTGGCGCCGACGCCCTTGCACTTGCGCGCCTCCAGCGGACAGCCTTCCTGATTCCAGAAGTTGTCTATACATAAGAGAACCGCTCCAAACACATGTAGTTCTGGCGGGCCCAGGGCGCGCCCCTTCCCCTGCTTCCCCACCACCGCCACATACTGCTTGCACCCCCCCCCCCCCCCCCACCCCCGCATCCACTAGAACACGTTCCTTGGGAAGACATAGCTGGGCGGCGCTGACATGCTCGAGGCTCCTGACTCGGCTCTCCAGCTGAAAAAAGTAACTTGCGCTGCGCTGCCTCCATCGCCTCCTCTCTCTTGGCGACCTTGGAGGGCTGTCCCGCGTCTGCTGACTCTTTCGTCGCCAGCAGCCAAGACACCAGTCGGGAAACACCTCGAGCGGGTCTCTATCTCGCCCCCGATCTGGAAGCCAAAATCTATAAGATGCTCGTCTAGGTATGGCTGCATATGGGCGTTGAGGATATGGAATCGCAGCACCACATTAGCCTCTGAAGAAAACTCGCAGAGACGGCAGCGGGTGAACTTGGGAACCACGACGTTTCCATAGCGGCCTCGATCTCTATATTCATGCGTTTGGAGTGCTGCCGCGAGGTGCTCCTGGGCTTGTGCATGTGTCGCAAGAACCGTACCGCACACAATGCACGGATTGGATTGCTCACGCATGCGATGCGCGCAAGAATCTGGCCCCCGTGCTCACCACCTTTCATGTGAACGTAGTGAGAGGTAAGTGCAGCGCGGGTGCCGAAGCATGCCGTGCATCGAGTGCCGTCCTCCAGCTTCGCCCAACATTAAAACTGCCCACTTTCTCGTCCTCCTCCTCGTACCCTTCGTCGTCGCTCAGATTCACTACGATGCGTCCAGTAGTGAGACTTTAGGCCTCGAACGTCGAGCTGAATGGAATCCTCCCTCCCCTCCATAATCAGAATAAGAGCGCTCATATCGTATCTTCCCAAGAGAACTGCGCCGTCGTCGAAACACTCCAGCGCAGAAACATCGTGCAACCAGTGGCGCCCCCATGGATTCGTTGAAGACTCCCTTCCAGAAATCAACCCCTCCTGTTCGACCTCCCCCTTCCCCGCCTGCACCTAGAAGCCCCCAAAAAACTACTGCCAGAACCTTGGCGCCTTCGAGCGGGTGGCGCAGTAAAGCCCGGGGTCAGACCAATCTGCGCACTCTGCGTTCGATAGGAACTGCCGCAATGCCGAATTTTGCCAAGATAGCGAGTTGTCGAGGCTGCGAACGTCACCGTTCGGCGAAGTCTTTGCCGCGCCTCTGAGGACCACTCTGCCACGGCGTGCGAGAAAGCTTCCGAGCGGGGCAACATCACTGCCCAGCAGCGGGCCGTTCGAGCGCGCAAGACTCTCGACGCCAGACGGCGCTGCATTGAGGACGTAGCCCTTAAAGACCGCCGAGCGCCACTTAAACTTCGCCCGACTCGTCCAGAACCTTCCCATCCTTGCCCAGGCCTCCTTCCCCGACGCCAGTCTAAACGGTGCCTCCACTCCCACTGCAAATCTGGCGGACATGCGGGTGCCTGAATACCGAGCGAATGCAATCGTCCGACCAGGAAGACGATTGGGTCGAAGTAGAATCTGCTCATTCCGATAAGCCCCTCTCCCGCTCAAATAAGGGATGGGCTCCTGCATGCCGAGGTTCTGGGCAAGACCAATAGCGTCAAGCGTGTCAGTGACTCTCTGGTTTCGTCCCTCACTCATCTTCAGCCCCTCCTCAAAGTTCGGGAACGGGATTGCGCCGGCATATAATCGTCAACGAACAGTGCGATGGCCGCTTGCTCTCTTCGCGCGGGGCAAGCGGAGAGGAAACCTGAAGCCACTTCGCTATCGGAGTGGCCTCAAACAAATCCTGCAGACGCAGTGCATATACCATGACAAATAGATGCACCATGACCGGACCCCCTGGCATACACCCCCCCCCCCCCATGGCAAAACGCGATGCCCCCCCCCCCCCCTCCGGCGAACGCCGAATGACTATGCTTGATACGGTCCAGCATGAGCGGGACGTCGTCTGGATGCAAGACTCGCGCGGCCGCCGCGTTGAGGCAACCTGCCTTGACAGAGTAGAATTCGTTTGCCGCGTCGTGAAAGCGGCGAAGGCGTGAAACTCCTAGCTTCTTCAGTCTCCATGCCGAGCAGCTCTGCGCAACTACTGCCCCCTCCTTCCTCCTTCTACTCAGTGCCCCCATAAACCCGCGCTGGAATTGGGCATTTCGGAGCTCGTCTTAAAACTCCACGATGAAACACTTCGCCCAAGGGGCGCGCCATCATCGCGACCCGCCCCCCCTTGGCCCCCCCCATTGTCGGCCCCCTTTCCGATGCGAGCTGTAACGGCGCGCAGCCAGTCGAGCGGTTGCATATTGCACATCCTGGCGCTTATCAGGATGAGGGAGAGAAACTTGCAGACATTCGGGGAGATGAGGTTAGTTACGTCTGAGATATGTCCGACCCCCCTCGACGCCCTCGGTCTCGACGACCAGCTGAGCACCTGATCCTCTGGCAGCGCTTGAATGGTCCAGCGTCATGACCTGGGCTGGACAGCCGCCTGCAGGTCCTGGAAGTTTCATCTCCCCCCCCCACTCTTGCCCCGCCCCGTCCGCCCTGATCTTCCCGTGGATCCTCTCCCCCCCCCTTCTTCGTCTGTGCGATAAGTTTAGCTAGACGGTGTATGTTGCGCCCATCCTGCCTCTCCACCGCCTCGTCGAACGCCTCGCACCTGTCCTGCCTGATCTGCTCCCAGTAGGTCCTGTTTCGATTTCTCAGCCACCTGCTCGCTCTCCTCAGCTCCATCGTCAGTCTAAGCTCTTCCCCCTCCAAGTCCTCCGAATACTCGACCTGCGAAAACTGTCCCCGAACGTCGCTGCGCTTCTGGAGGAGTTCTGAGATCTCTCTCGCATGCCTAGAATGATCTTCTGTATACAATGGTGCGCGAGCGCACTGCTCTTCGCCTGCTTCCCGAAGTGACTGCACGAATACTTTGTTGGCTTCATCCGCGACCATGTTCGATGGTAGCAAAGCCACTCTGTCATATTCTCGAGAAAGAGACCGCTCCAGCTGCAGAATGAATTCTTTGCGCCTGAAACTTCGCTGCAACATCATCGGCATGGCCTCTCCCGAAAGATGCGCCACCTGTCTCTGGCCTGCGTTCTCATATGGTTATGCAGCCACTTGGAGCGGCAGTGCAATCCCAGCTGGTACGTGGCCCCATAGCTCGGATTGGCTGTGCGCCTGAAGTCGCCAAGCGCTGCGCCGCAGCGTGCGACGCCAACATACTTCGGGCACCCACTGGTGGGGCATCACAATGAAGCCGATCACTTTGGACGTTTGTGAATTACCGTAGCATGTGTCGCCAGCGGGCCACATCGTATTCATTGCACACAAGTCATGCGACTTTAAAAGAGCCGAAGGATTCTGTGTCGTGAA